TTCACATCGTGAGGACTATGAAATGCCACGCTGGTGCGCTATCCTTGAACAGCAGGAATGTGTGTAGGACAACCACCTTCTCCTCTGGGACCACCCACCGTTAATGGCTCGTTGGTCTCAAGGGTTCCAGTGCCTCACTGAAAATTTCAGCCACTGCTTGCCCATTTGCAGCTCATCGAAAGCCTCAATGGACCTCGCGGCATTTGGATGCGACCCTTTGGATCGCGGCACGGCGGTCCCAATGAGGAACCTTTGGTTCCACCATTGGGACCGCCGAAATCGGCGATCCAAAGGGTCGCATCCAAATGCGTTTTTAGTTGATTCGTATTAGATGCAGGATCAAAACTTGGACAGGTTGCTATGCGTTGATAGGTTATTAGTTGATCATTGAATTGGCTATCTCACACCATTTCTGCATGAAAGTAGACTTGGCAAAAATGTTGCCACTTAAAGGGATTGTATCACGACAGTGTGCGAATCCAACGGGCGCTTTGCATTGCACCATTTGTTAGGGCAAGCAGCTTACTGATTTCGCCGTGACGTGACGAACGTGCAATGTACACTGGAATGTTGGGGCTTATGATGAAAAAGAGGATGTGTTTGGGACAACCGGCTGGCCTTCTAAGGCAACCTTTCATGGTCCTGTGGCCTTCTTGAAGGTTTTCCGCCATGTTGAGAAATTCCGCGATTGATACGCCGATTCGCAACTTTCCGCAGGCTGCAAGGGCCTCGCGACATTCAGTTGCGACCCTTTGGATCGCCGAATAGAATGGATCGCTAGACGCGCCGAGATAGACTTGATCAGCAGGAGGCCGCATACGAATGCAAGTTTTTGTCGATTGCTGTATGGTACACGATGGCAGAGTATGAACTTAGAAGGCTGTTATGCGACGTAGACGAGAAACTGGTCATTATTTGGCTGAGTCACATCATTCCCTTCATAAAGTACAGTCTTCATCCGGGCACTTGATTAGAACGGCTAGTGGTCGCAGCGCGGCCGCGGCGCGTCACGGCCGCGAGGATCCAGCTGTTTCCGGCCTAATTTGACCGTTTTCTCTCTAATTTTCAGTGTGTTTTCTGTTTTTTTTTCAATTAATGTGTGTAGTTACCTTGCGAAGTTATATTTTGTTCCTGGCATTAGAGTTCAGTATTTCTTCAACTTGTCTGTTTAACTGTTGAATTGGCACGCAAATATCAGGCACTCGATCATGTTTACCTATATGAAGACAAAGAACAACTAACCGTGAGAAACAGTCAAAACATGTGAATCCGGCAGAATACCTCTAAAATAGGCTGGGAAAACAGCTATCTGCCACAGCTCCAGTACACGCCGCATCGCGGTACTTGGCGCCCTAATCAAGTGATAGATGACCAGTATCTTTTGGCAAAAACTAGTCACCGAACGAGATCCCACGAATCATTCCTGCGTGGTGCATGCACTGCCTTGGCACTGCGGCTTCGTCGCTCTCGCTTACACGCGCGCTGCAGGATAATTTGATGACTGAATGGCTAGGCATCACGTGTTATTGACACACATTTTCGCTTTTGTGTTCAGATATAAAAGGAGAGCGACACAAAATTCACCCTCGCATGTCCCGCTTACAAACGGGACAGAATGCATTGCAAGACGGCACTCCAACAGCTATCCTCAGATATCGGTCCGCAAGACCCAGCGTTGGGCGACTTTTACAACTAATATCTAAGTACTGCTTCCAAGGTAGCTGACTGGCACACCGTGCGTCTAGATCGAGATCGTCACCTTGACTATCGCAATGTACAAATAGCTGACGCGCTTGTCCAATATTTTCTTTCAAATGCAGAGTCATTAAATACGTGTTTATTGAGTAGATCAAATACAACGTTTAAATGAATAACATAAATATTTGCACTCAAGAAAATTTCATACATTAAAATACAGAAATAGAGGAGTTTCGTAACTGTTCTCGAATACGGTACTTCTGGATTTTAGTGTGTATTCGTGGGAAATCGTGGACGAATGCAAAGAGATCCGGAACGGGAAACTGAAAAACGAGTTAAAATTTATGGACAAAACAGTTTATGCCTCTACATGCATTTTTGTCGCCACCCCTTGAACAAAATCAGTATCCAGACGAACAAGTAAAGTAAAGCGCAAAGTCGTGCACCACTTCTCCTTGCACTTTTGTGCTCTCCTCTTCACCGTGTTGTCATGTGAGGCGCACCAATGAGAAGGGCCCACTGGTTGAGAGCTCCCGCCCATCGCATTATCGCGATATGGGTCGTTTAAGGTTCACAAAGGGGACGCAGAGTCTCGCAGTGCGTCTGCATGGTGTGTAGAACCCATGTAGGCCTAGCAAACCTTCTCTTACCACAGTATAACTCACCCTTTGAAGATGGCTCTTCTTGATGGTGAGTGTCCGCACTGCAGTTCCGTTCCCCACATTTCCGCTCAATTACAGCGATAACGGGGCAGGAGGTAATGAACGCACGGTGCCGTAAACACTGCTCCGCCTGTGCTATCCTCATTGTGCAGCACTTGCGTCGATTCAAGATCCCCCAACAAAACACGCACTCAGCAGTAGAAAAGAACCAGAAAAGAGAGGAACGCAGGACGAAGCAGCAGCAATGGCTGTGTACATTGCCGCGTGCTGCCGTGCGGCGCGGCATGCGGAGTATGGAAACCGACATCCAGTATCACTACCCCTGCAGCTTCATTGCCGTGGCTTTTTTGATGTCAGAAAGTGGCACGCTACTCTGGCTGTGGTCCCATTTTTCCCACCTCGGCAAGAACTGAGATCCGGAAGGTGAGTGTATAATCTTTCCATCCTACCACCCTCCCAAACAGCGCACGTCGTGCACTGAAAGTCACTCAACATATGGGAGATGGGCGGGAGTGGGGCGGCTGTGATATGGCGAAAGCGGAATTGTAGTCATGAAAAAGTTATTATGATAGCTTGCCTCGTCATAACCACCGCCCTACCTCCCCCCACTCCCTTGCTCCCTTCTCCAATCGAATTTTAAACTTGTTAACGTCCGCTAAGAAAGGCATGAAATTCCTCGGAAAACGTATTGTTTCTTCCCGAAAGTTGCGCACCATATCCCATCAATATTAGACCCTCTCAGGAACCCACATACCCCCCCCCCCCCCCTCGAGAAGTATTCATCCGCTGCTTAGCCACTATTCAGAGCGACTTGAAAGCGAACTATCGCGACGTTTTGCTCAAACGAGGCGGTAAAAAAACGTGCACTTACCCTGTGTTTTTTACACATTGATACAAGCTCCGAGCGGACGTGAGCGACGTTTGATTGCGTATTCCGCAGAACACATACGGCTGTCACTGGTTGACCACGTCCAACTGACACCACCTGAACCATTTGGATTGAGGTAAAAATGAGAGAAAATTAAAAAAAACAGTAGACTTTCTTGCAAAAGCTTTGAAAGCTTCAACGCTAGGTCTACGAACCTGTACTCCTTTGATCAAATCGTTCTGATTCAAGAGCCTCTCAATATTCCAATGTTCAACGAGACCGTTATTATTGTCATAGATGAGATCTTCTTTATTCGTGACAATTTCTATACTTCCTTCGTCGTCTACACGGGCCACATCTCTAAAAGATTTCACAGCGATTAAAACTTGCTGTCATATCACTCGCAATGTATGTCACGGCAATGTCTTTGCAAACACTGCGAACATATCACATTGCTTAGCTGTTCCTAGCAAAGTATGTCTGACGATATTCTAAGAACACTGCCACTAGACGGATGCGTTTGCATATTGCTGGCAGTGTGTGTCATGGCGATGTATTTGCACACTCATTAGTAGCCGTTCCTTTATCACCAGCAGTGTATGTCACGGCCATGTCTTACATACATATAATAGCGTTCCCATACCCTCGTCAATGTATGTCACGGCGATGTCTTGCACACACTGCCACTATAGGATTTCCACCAGCAGTGTGTCTTGGCCATGTCTTACATACATATAGTAGTTGCTCCCATATCCTCGTCAATGTATGTCACGGATGTCTTGCACACACACTGCCACTAACAGAGTTTCATAGCGAATGTCTTTGCACTCTCGTACATAGCCGTTCCTATATCACAGCCAGTTATGTCTGTCGTGACATTTCTTTAATTACACTGCAATGGATAGCTTTTTGACTCCCGAGCCTACCTCGCATTGGGCCGATCAGTGCTTGTTCATGGCTATGTCCCTCAAATATTGCCGCCGTGGGGAAGAAACTACCAAAGTGGCGCCATACTCGGTTAAGGAAAAGGGGAACAACTTCCCTAACAGGTGGTAGATTTGACTCAAAGAGGTTAGACTGCCGTAGAATCAGTCATAATCAGAGAACAACAAGAGGAGCTTTCCTAGCATGGGTGTCCGGAAGTCTACTGAACCAACGGAGCGAGCCCGTGCCCTTGATACGAAAAAGCGGGCAAAAATGATCAGCCAATTGGGTGCAAAAATATTATCTACGGCTAGCCTCCCAGTGGGCCCGCGAGACATCTAGCTTTTCGCCATTTCTGCTAGCTCATTCTGGGGGGCGGTATTCGAATGAAGAGTCAGTCATTGGAAAAATGCCCACAAAGCATTACTGTGCGACCCACTATAACTGAGGAGTGTGCCTCGAAGAGGATATTACAACGAGAGAGGCGCTGCTCGGTCTGGAAGGGAGCAGGAAGAGAGGGGGCACCTTGCTTCTCATCTTAGCGTGTTTCTTTTGCTAGCTTATCTTCACTAACAGGCAAACTCCTGTGACGCTGCCGACCTAACAGTGCGCGAGCCATTTTAGTCCAGGAATTTACAAGTCTCCACATGATGGCCTGTACAAGCTTCGCTAAGCACCATATGATGCCCCCTCCAAGCAGAACTACCCCCAAAAACCCAATAGTAAGTACTCGGTAGACACTCATTATCTACTGATCACTTACCTATCCATTACTGCATTATTTTAGGCAAAAGATTGCTAAACAAAATCCGTTCGAAACATGAGGGCTTCGCAATACTTACCCAGTTTCAACCCATTTTTCTTTTCCACTCGTGTCTGGAGCATATCCCATGAATGTGCTCCCGTAATATACTCGAATCAGAAGCAATCCCAGTTGCCCTGGCTTCAACTTCACCGTCTCCATTCAGAGGTTTTAAGTGTGTCTGAAACAATGATCTTCGCAGTTTAGATGATGACATTTGTAGAAATAGCTCAACAAATTTAACCCTCAACAGTTTCCACAAATTCGACGCTTCAACCAGCTTGCTTACAGTCACACTAGACGATTACGTGATTGCAGCTATGACTTTTCTATTTTGTATATTTTTGTATATGTATATTTTTGTATTTTGTAGATTTTGTTCACTACCGATGGTGCTGCGTGTTGGGGGATGGGCGACATCGGGGAACTGCCTAGCACCAGCCTGCTCTCCATCAACTTCTGAAGAGGGCAGGGTGACAGCTAGTGGAATTGGGGCGCTGCACCAAACCCAGTCACCCTGACACGCTCCAGCATCTACAGCGACTAAGACTGTAGCTGGGACCACATCTGTACTAACCTGAACAAAGAGGCTATTCTCCGGACTGGATATTGGAGAATAGCCTCATTTGTTCAAGTCTGTACAGATGCGGCTGGCTACTGGCTGTCTCGTTTCAAATGAGAGCAAGAAGTCGCAGGGTTATGAAGCTAGCGAATGAATAACCACTGAGGTCCGAAGACGCCTACAAGTGCCGCACGAAGAGCAGCCTCTTTCAAGCTGTTGTTGCTTGATAACTGCTGTTTAACGCCACGCGCGATCCGAAAGCTATCACAAGAATGCTGAGTTATGGGCGCAAAAGTCGGACCACGGACGGGATTCGAACCCGCATCTTCTGCTTACCGGGCAGCTATGCCACAAATAGCCATTGAGCTGAGTGGTCAAAAGTGGCCTCGGTAGCGTAATAGACGACGCAATTTACACGGTAAGCAGAGCTGAAGCAGAAGCACAGCAGATGCTTGGTTCGAATCCTGTCCGTGTTTCCGACGTTTGCCCACAGCTCAGCATTCTTGTGACAGAGCCTCTTTGTTGTGTGCCTAAAGCCATCGCCCTCTCATCGAGGACTTCTTCCGCACCATCTTTGTTGTCAAAAGTATATTCGTGCTTTTTTTTTTTCCTTGCCTTGGAACATTTCATTTAGACGTTGCTCCAGCTGGCAAACAATGATTACTGAAAAATCCTACCCCACTTCGCCGTCCTGCTGTTCTATTCTATAATCAGAGCACGTTCTGCCGTTGGGGAAAATCCTGCAGAAGGCTTTCCCCCTCAAAATTTCAATCCCTTATACGACTCTACCCAAATTTTCTCAACTTCCCACTTTCGCAGAGTGTTTCATGAAGCCGCTCCCTCCGGCATTTTCCCTAAAAATCGACATTCGAGCGTGGGTGGCAGAGAGAAAGGGGATACATAGCGCTTTCTAGAGCGAGGCTCTGATCCCGCTTCTTCTCTTCGTCCACCCTACCACTCGTTGGTCGTTGAGAAGAAGGTGAACACCGTGGAAAGTCAACAACAGAAAAACCGTTTTCCCGAAAACGAATCCAACCTCCACCCCCTCTCTCCATCGATGGACTCCCCTACCTCCGGGGATTCCTTCCTTATGAGTGACCTGCTCTGTCTAAAATGCACCTTAATGTGAAAATGCCAGTTTTCGACGACACGTCCCCCTTGTTCAGTGAGAAACCTAGAAATCCTCCACAAAATTTGTCCTACCTCATAGCCTGCTATCGCTCTGCCCACCATTCGTGTGAAATCTGTGGTCGCATCGCCCATAATTGGAATGGATCCTGTTTCGGTTAGCATGTAGCCCACCTAAACTTTTCAAAATAAAAAAAATCATAAACGTAGCCCACCTAAACTTATCAGAATAGAAAACGGTAACCACCCTTAAATCACACGCTACTTCAGGGTTGCCTTGATTACCTGAATAGTGAAAAGTTTTGCTATAAGTTCATTTCACCTACCGCGATGATTTTCACATTGTCAGCTTGCTTCTGTATGCTTTGAAGAGCCTCTTTCGAAACGCGGTCACCCAGTAGAAGGATTTGCTCGATGCTATCAAGTTTCACCCTCTGAGTCTCGCTAATCTTCAGAAGTAAACGAAGAGCGGCGCCATTCGTCAACAGCGTTGAACATCTGAACCTATTTACTGAGATTTTTGAATTTATTTATTTATTTAATTCATTCAAAATTCAAGGTCTGCGCTGTCACAGTCGCGAGCAGACACTGCGCGTGTTGTGAGGTGAGGCTCGGCACGGCACCAGCCCATTCTCCACCAATTGTTGAAACGAGTGACCGACAACAATTGGTGGAAAACAAGCTGGCGCTGCGCCAAGTCCAGCCGCCCTGACACGCCCCAGTCTACAGCGAAAACAACTGTAACTCACCAAAGAGACAGAGGATGACGACATGGGTTTCTCATGACTTGTTCTAAGGCTTATTCACATCACATGAATTCAAGGGCACGGTCCGTGGGACAAATCTCTAATATGAGCCCTCTAGCCTCAAACTGAAGAATGAGTGCCAGGCTAACGCGTGTTGGAACAAGACCGCCCATCCGATTCCATATAGTAAGCACTACGAGCTTCCAATCAATTTCCTTCTCACGCTACTCTCCGGAAGGGACATCTTTCGCTGGAAGGCGGGGTCTGGAGGTCGCTGGAAGAAAGGAGGTGTCACTGGAGGAGCTTCACGCCGTAGCGCCTTTACTTTACAGCTTCACGCCGCTGAACTGGTGCAAGGTGGTTCACAAATGACCACACTCCTTCTCAGCGTTTTACATTCCCATAGGTCACCACGGGCAATAGCCTATCAACTGGACCATCAGACCACGAAATCGTAGACATTTGTCGCCATTTTGACATTGTCTATTGTCGCTATCCTTAAAGACAGCCCCCACGCTCAAGTAGTACATGGTCGTCCTTCCTTGTGCAGGTAGTTCAGCCCCCAAGCTAGATACTGTCCCACTCTCGCGACTCCACAGTGAGCGAGGAGCGAGCTACAGCCGCTCAAAGTTCTAGTTCTAACGCCCGCTCAGTTGGACCGCCCCACTTGCTAGCTGCCCTCTGACGGAGAGCCGCTCAGTTGTTCTTTGTTGGGACGGCGGGCATTAATCCTGCATGTACTTTTTGCTGACCGCGCTCGTGCCCATGAATAATTCTGCTCTCCTTCATCACATTTTATTCATTGGGAGCACATACAGTCAACTGCAACCCATCTCGTAAGGTAAAACGCGTAAAAATCACGAATGATGCAATTTCTGTGGTGCAAAAGCTCGACATGCACCAAAAGCCGCACACTTCACGTAACCCCGATTCGGACGCCAGGTTTTTGATTTTTCCTTTTTTCAAGTGTTTTTCGTTCGTGTCTTTGTTGTTTTTCATATTCTTTTCTTTGAATTGGATGTTGTCCACTACTGGGAAATGCCATAAAGCGATTTGTGAGCCAGGGGTTGCCCAGGGACCGCAGGGCGGTGTAACTGTAAGGGAGCAATTTTGTTTGTGGTGTTCTTGAGGGCTCTTGTTGCTTTTTCTTCTTGAGGAATTACTTGTCAGCTACTGTTTCATAAAGTTAGTTGAGATTCATTCCTTGACACTTTTATGCTGAGTTTGTCTTTAAAGCTCGTCTAGTCATTGGCGCGACGTTCGCCAGCGCAGCGGATTACGGTTGTCTTGTCATAAATGGGGTGTGTGGTGATTCTATCGTCGGGTCGTCGCGCCGGTGGGCGGAGCGAGGCGGCGTGGCGGCCGCCGCGTACGAGTTTTGTTGCGTGGCGTTCAAATTGTTAAAGGGTCGACGATCCCTTTAACAATTTGAAAGAGGCACAGCTTGCTGTGGCCGAGCAGGTCCGTAACTTTCTTTTATTATTTTATTTTTTCGATAGAATCGTCAGGCGACGATAGGATGGCCCGGGTGCCACCTAAATGTTCTGCACTACAGCAATGGATTCCAAGAGCTTCTTGCTGCCATTTGATGACCAGTGAATTTTCACAAGGAAAAAAGGCAATCCATGTATGAACTTAAAAAACAGCTGACATCAAATGCACCCAAAAAGTGGAGAACTTTTTCAGCCAGAAACTTCAACAAAAACCCACCTGTACTTGTTGATCGATGCAAAGAGCATCCTTGGAAGTGGTTGTGGTGCAGGAAAGACAGTCCGTGAATCAGTGAGGAACGGTGAAAGACAAACGAGAGTGAAAATCGGCAGTCGAAACATTGGCAATGCACATGCTAACGTTTGCTGAATGAAAAGGGATTTATCAAACTAGCCAGAATTTTGAGTTTATCAGTTACTCCAAGCTTTTAGAGCTGACTACTGTGCAATGCACACAGTTTGCGCTCCGAAAGCTGCCACAAGAATGCGAGTGATGGGCAAACGTATTGACTCTAGTGGAACTCGAGCCCACGCCTCACGCTTAGCAGGCGAGTGCGGTATCCGTTAGCCACCAGGACACTCTCTTGTCTTTTCAGCTCGATAGCTCGTAAGCTGACCAGCTCTCAGAAAGTATCAAAATCGAAACGGC